ATTTATATACTATTAGATAAAATAAATCTAAGCTGGAGGCATATAGTAGGAATATGCTAATTTATAGCTTCTTGAGCCTTCTCCTTTTTTGCACTAAAATTAGAGCATGAAAAGTGTTAAATGAAATGGGTGAGTCTAGCTACTCAGTAATTAAGGTTAAACCTATCCTATATAATTATATATCAATTATAAACCAAGTACATGCGTAAGGAATCAAGTATGTAAAACATGCTTGCACGTGACATAACTTGTCATTTATCATTTAATAACTTCTTTGTCTTACATATATTAGATGCATTGTCGCTATATTCTCAAATATGAGACCATGACCCATTATTCACGCGACTTGCCACAACTTAACATGTGTGACACATCATTTATTTACTTAGATAATGATTAATCAATCTTATATCTTCCTTATTCTCTTAGACTGAAATCGTGGGCTATAATACTAAATAAAGCTCCGTTCGTGTGACTGGATTACCCAGGCCCATCAATCGTGAGGTTTGACTCGGCCAAAAATTCATGACTCACTCTCGGACCATGACTTTTTCCATTCTCAATTCTCTAGAGTGTCTCATGTCCTAAACTATTCTCCTTATTGAACAGGTGAAAATAGCTAGGTTCTAGTTCCTCAGTAAACTATGAGACAGTCTCTCGACAAATTGTGGGATAAGGCTATACTCCTGTGTACCGAAGGGTGGCCTAAATACTATATAAATTTTTTTCTACCCCCATTCCTTAGGTGAACTCTCACCATTGATCATGCCATAATTAATACTTACTCGTTTTTATATATTCATTTTCATTTACTCATTATCTTAACAATCACGTTAGGCTCATGATCGTGCATTATCCAAGTAAGTATTCTCATCATTTTCTTAACATTATTTTCACTTATCACAAGATCCACTTCTCATTAACACATAATCACCTTTACATAACATCACATTCATTTTCCAAAAGTATCAACATGTTTATAGTTCTAAAACCATCTTAATTTCACATTTTGCATTTCAAGTCAAACATTCAAATTTTCATACACTTATTGAAACTAATACATGATTTCATATCGAAAATCAATTCCATGCATGTAACATTTATAATTTATATTTAACAATCAATTATCAATTAATTAATATATAATTATTCAAAGTAAGGTTTCCCCAGTTACCTCAAACTTTTGAGAGATCAAAGATTTATCCCTCAATTTACTAGCCTCTAAGCTTGAATTTTTCAATCCAATGGGTGATCAAGAGCCAAACATTACAATCAATCAAGTTGAATTTCATCAACATTACCATCTCGAGCATTAAACCCTCAATCTCTACTTTTAAATTGCCCAATGTTTACTCTACAAGAGTTTGAGCCTGTCTTTTAGGTTTATTAATTACCTTTAGTCTCCAATAATATTAATGAACTATTAAATTCCCATTAATAGCATCATAATATTCCAATCACCTATGATAAATGAGATTTTCGGATATCAATGGTGTCTAATAACCAAGACATCAAAAATTCATTATACTAAATTTAGATACTTTAATTTACTTTCATTAACTCCATCTGAATCAATAAATTTAAACCTATAACTCACATGGATCAAAAATTCACTTTTACTATCAAACCCTGATTATAAACTCATAAATGTGGAAGAAATGGGGAGATTAACGAGTATGTTACTTATCTTGGGTGTCTGTAACTTCTAAAATACTCTCAATCTCGTCCATAAGTAAACCCTATCATAGCAGTGGCGTGTCTCTCCATTTTCTCTTTTCTCTTTTTTCTTTTTTTGTCTCATTTTTGCAATTGATATTTGCAGAAAATGGCCATGCATCGTGGTGGACACACAATGCGCCATGGCGCATGACACAAAGAGGTCCTCCCTCGCATTTGAAGTGTTTGTGCACCGTGGTGAATGATCTCTATGCCGCGACGTGTGGCACATTAACATCACTCTTTATTTTTCTTTTCCTTTTGATGCACAGGTAGCCTATCTTGATACGGACCCACAAGTTGGGTTGAAATATAATCAAATATACGTATTAGACCTCCTTGATCACACATTACCTTAACTTACTTAATTATCCTAATTAGGTTTAATTAATCAAGCGAGCAAAACTAGGATGTTATAATATGTGTGTGTGTGTGTAAAATAACTTGGTTTATCAAGGCTTGAAGGATTGCAAGGGCTTAGGCATTTTTTCATAGGACTTATTAAGGTCAGGCTTTCAAGTTTGGTTACTTTAACAACTTTTAATTTCTAATGCCCAAACCCTTATTTAAATAAAATTTCTAAACTAGTGAAGGGTGGTGGTTGACAGGAACCTATGTTAGTAACATTTTTGAGGATCCAAAGTTTGAATTTTACTAAGAAAAAAAATAGAAGAGAAAAGAGTTTAATTTTATTTGGCTAAAATGCATACAATCTCCTTGAACTTTAAAACAATTACACATAACCCCCTCACCTTTAAAAATTTAAAATTAACCCCCTAACTTTTAATTTTGCTTTTCAAAAACCCCTATTATTAATTATGCTATTTTTTCATAAGGGTTAAAATGTCATTCAACTAAAAAATATCATTAAACAAAAATATTATGTTGTATAACTATTTATAATAAGTTTCTTGCATTTTTTGGATAGTTGAAGCATTGATAAAGAAAATTTTTATCATTGTATAAAATTTTAAAATATTTATGTTCATATTAGTTTTGTTCATATTTTTTTGTTATCAATGGTGCATGATTTTATTGTTTTAAAAGATAAATTTTTATTTATTTTTTATGTTCGATTAATGTAATGCATATGGCTAAAATATTTAAAATTTTATACAATGATAATAATATATTTTTTTGTTATCAATACCTCAACTATTCAAAAAATATAAGAAATTTATTATAAATAGTTATACAATATAATATTTTTGTTTAATAACATTTTAACCCCCATGAAAAATAACATAATTAATAATAGGGGGTTTTAAAAAAATAAAATTAAAAATTAGGGGTTTAATTTTAAACTTTTAAAGGTAAGGGATGTTATATACAATTGTCTTAAAGTTCATAAGAGCTTTTTACATTTTAGCCATTTTATTTTTATTAAGTTTTGTGTCTTTCTTATAATTTTTTTTGGTCTTTCTTGTAATTTGCCAACGTGCCTTTGTAATTCCAACGCAGAAGCTAACTCCTGTAACTTAGGGGAAAAATCGATTTTTTTGGATAGATTGATGTTTGGGTAATTGGTTGAAAAATTGATTTTTTTAACTCAAAAAATCGATTAAAATACGTATCCAAACGGCACTAGAGCAATAACAAATGAATGCTTCAAAAACAGAGAATCCATAATTTGAGATAACGACAAATATACATGCATATGAAGACGATAGGTTATTTATGTGCGTCGTTTACTGTATTTTTACTTGGACTTTGTGTGTTGGAATCATGACATTGGCAGGTCGTCACCTGCCAGGCTAGCTTGGAGTGCGCAAAATCATACACCGTCAGGTAGTGGAGGCGCTTGCACCATGCATGCCCTGTAATTATACCGTGAGAAAACAAAAACAAGATATATCGGAGCTTGTAGCCTGTAAGTAGTCCAAGAAAGCAGCGAGGCGAGAACTTGGTAAGTACCAAGATTGAAATTGTTGATTCAAGTTAAAGATGTGGCAACGACTCTCGTTTCTCAGTCAACACAGATCATTGCATTTGCCCAGATGAATGCCATTACTACCCAGATCAATTGGTGCGATAACACCCTATGAGCATGTTCGGACTGAGAAAACTAGTGAGAACGCATGAAAAGAGGGAGGACTCCAGAGAATTTGGTCTGCGCGAGTCTGACTAATTAAGCACACCACATTAGAGTTTTCCAAGTTCAATAATGATGACTTCAGGGGATGGGCATTTCTCCTCGGCGCGCGCAATTTCCAGACACCAATGAGGCACCATGGAGTACGGATCAAGATGAAGATGATTAATACATCATGTATTTGTGAACGCCAATGTATTATATAGAGTTATTAGATAATCCCCATTTCAAAAGCATAAGAAACGTTCAAGGAGTTGTTGGATGTATTTAAATTATTTTTAATATTTTAAAGTGCATTTAATATATTTTGTAAAAAAATTCATAATAAATAAATTATTTTATATTTATTTTAAATTAAAATATTGTATTAAATAAAAAATAAATGTGAAAAGATTGTGTTAATTTAAAAATAATTAACTATCTTTTTAGATAAGAGTAGGTTAAAAATGTATCATGCTTTTGAAAGAGGGATAAAAGCAATAATTATTCATAAAAGTTGGAAAAAATAATAATTAATAAACTTTTGACAAAACTAAATAAAAAATTATTAATATAAAAGTCTTTGTTTTATTTAATAAAAGAAAAAGAAAGTATAAAGAAAAAATGACAATTAAAAACCCTCCAAAGACATTAATCCTATTCAAAAATAATAAAATTTTGGAATTTTAATTAAGAATTATTGAAAAAGATATATAATTTATCTTAAATGCTATTGAGAAAAAAACTCAATTATGTTAAAATTTTAATTATGTTGTTTTCACAATTTACATTAGTAATTTTTTTTATAAGGTTAGTGAATTCTTAAATGACGTTAGTGAATCTCACCTCATATTAGTAAATTCTAATTTTTAGACAAATTATTTTTTATTAAATAATTAATTTTTAAGTAGGATTTTATTTTTTTATAATATACGTTAAAAGTTTTTTAAAGTCAGGTTAGTGAATTCTCAAGTTGAAATTTTATATTTTCACAATATATATTAATAATTTTTTTAAATTGAATTAATAAATCTCACCTCATGTAAGGATATTTAAGATAAATTATATTTTTTTTATCTCATGATTCTTAATTAAAATTTTAAAATTTTACTACCCTTAATTGGAAGTAATATCCTCATATGCTTAATTGTCAATTTTTTCAAATATAAAACTCGCTCCGGAAATTGTTCACTGCAAATTCAGAAAAAACCAGGCGGCCTCAACAAAATGAAATAATTCGAAAGTAACATACTTCGATTCTCAGTTGTTGGAGGCTGATATCAAGGCCATTCGCATGCTTCCCTGATACCTTCAAGTTTGCCCAGGGCTCAAGGAGCTGTCAGAGCTATCTTTCAACGATGTTGATTCAGATTCCCCGGCTAACAAACTCTCTCAGAGGCCCGTTTGATGTTGATCGGGCGTATCTTCACCGCAAGCATATACTCCAAAATCGAGAGTCTCACAAGTAATTCGGATATAGAGAACAATTCTTTTTCAGATTATGCTTTCATTCATGTTCTGTTCAGTTCCTAAGAAAATTTGCGCGGTAAAACAGTAACATCAATAATGTTATTGCAATTCATCCCAGACTGTCCATTTTGCTTGCCATCCATTGTGAACTCGAATCTTATGAGTGTTTTGGCTACCTTGCTTGGACGTTTATACATCACTGGTTTATACACTTGGTTTTAGCTTCGTTTGTCCAGTATTAAATAATTTGCTCGTTTCATGTTTCATCGTGTAGTATAATGCTAATAACACTCTGGTTTTAATTTTTATGATATAGTTCTGCTAACTCGATTGACGACTCTGTGCTGGCACGGAAGATCGTTTATAAATGGGAACAAGGTATGTGCAGTTGTTAGCGATGAAGTAGTATGTTCAATTAGTGGCGTAACTATTATCAGACTCTAAGATGTTTACATGAGATGGATTGGTGAAGCAGCTTCATCAGAAGTGCGACATGCATACAGACAGTTTATAGGAGCGGTAGTGGAGTTGATTGATGGAGAAACGTCCTCTGAAGAGTTCCACGAGGTGGTACTGACTCTTTACCATCTCTTCTGCAGTCAGATGGAGGAGGATGATATTGATAGAATAATATCCGATAAGAAGTAAGTAGTGGACTATTGGCTGCCATAATTTTGAAAGAAAATGGCAGCAGAAGGGATTTAGCGCTCACTTTGTTCATTACATGGGCTGTCTATTGTTTTCTCATGGTTTTCCATTTTCTGATATTCGAACAGTTTCTGAATTCAAGTGAATTTATGAATTATATTCTCATGGTTTTCCATCACTATGGAAGACAGTGAACAAAAATTTCTTCTGGTTTATCATTTTTTCATAGCAAAATAATTTCAAACGTGTAATTTGGAATTTCAAGTTTGTGCTTTGCAAGAACAAAGTAATTGTTCAACTGTATATGGTTCTCTTTATTAGGAGGATGTTTTATCTTACATCCCAGTGCACTAGAAACTTGTATACTGTCATATGCATCTCACGAAATGCTGATTCCATAATACGGAATTCTGATCCGTTTTTATGTTAGTCTTGAATGTAGAGAGAACATAGCATATGCTAGAGAACCCTGACTCCTGATATGTGAAATTGTTTTGCAGGTTAGAATTGAGAAAACTCCTTGGTCATACAGTTGCTGATGCCAACTTGAGGCAAGTTGCATCTCTAGCACAGACACTACTCAGAGTGCAGCCTAGCGATAATATAGAAAGAAATCTTGATGCCAGTGAGAATTTAGAATTTGGAGCTGATTTTAATTTTGTAGCACCAGCTCGTTTCTTAATTGATGTGACTTTAGACATTGAGGATATGATGGATTACAAAGGCACTGCTCCTCTAGCTGTTCAAGAAGGACATTATGGTCATATTGGACCAATAGATCATTCTGTTGTGGATGGCGCAAAGTTTAACTTGAGTTGGTTAAGAGATGCATGTGATAAGATAGTTAGGAATAGTGTGTTGCGGCTATCTCAAGATGAACTGGCAATGACCATTTGCAGGGTGCTTGACTCAGAAAAGCCTGGAGAAGAGGTATTGCTTGATGTTAAACTTCTTTATCAGGTATAAAAATCACAGCAGTGTCTAAAATTTTCTTTTTCTGTGTGAAGATAGCAGGAGATTTGTTGGATCTTGTTGGTGATAGTTCATTTGAAATGGTGCAAGACCTTATATTGGTGAGGAGACAGTTGATTTGTTTACTTACATCAGTGGCTATATCTGGATCTTAGTATATTCCTCTGACTATTCAAGTAATTGCTTTATATGTTTTGAGATTTGAATTTTTAAGTATAATAGTGTTGGTTTTGCTTGGGAAATTTAAACTTTTTTTTTGCATGGGCTGAAATAACTGCTACAGTACTTTCTGTTTATTGATAACTCTTGCTTCAAAACTAAATGCATGCTTCTCATCTAAATTTTTGTGAATTTACTTGCATTATAGTTGACGTTATGTCCAATTGCAGCATCGAAAGGAGATTGTAGATGCCATCCATCATGGCTTATCAGTGCTGAAGTCTGACAAAAATGCTTCAAATGCTCAGTTGCGAATGCCTAGTTATGGGACTCAGGTATAGACCTTGTTAATTATTGTCATCTAGATTTTTCCACTTGTATATACTCTATAGTGACATACTATCTCATATGAACTTATATTTTTTTTTTCAGGTAACTGTTCAAACAGAGTCAGAAAGGCAAATTGACAAACTCCGACGCAAGGAGGAAAAGCGAAATAGACGTGGAATAGATCATGCTGGTGATGGTGACTTGTCTGCAGCAGACTTTTCTTCTTTACTTCAAGCAAGTGAGAGGAAAAATTTAATTGATGACACGATTGGTTCTAGTGATAAGAATCAGTCAATAGCTGTCACTGCTCTTCCTCAAGGAACTGTTAGGAAGCATTTTAAGGGGTATGAGGAGGTCATTATTCCCCCTAGACCAACTGCACCAATGAAACCTGGAGAAAAGCTGGTATATATTTTTAAATTCTATTCTTATGAGGCAAATATAATTTTAACTGCTGTATGTAAATAGTTGATGAACATATGAAATGAGAGATTGGTCTCTTGGCAGTTTATTTATGAAGTTGATGTGGTTCAGGAATGGTTTGCATTGAAACTTGTATCTTAATAATTGCTAGCTGATACCTTGTCTCTTCCGCATTTTGCATACTGTCTATCACTTTATCTTTTATTTATTATGTGGAAAATTTTACAACTACCTCAAAATGATCTTAATGGTAAGGCTTTGTTGATCAAGATAATTCCTTATAGGCATTTCTGTTACAATTATCCATTTTCAGATTGAGATCAGGGAATTGGATGACTTTGCTCAAGCTGCTTTCCATGGCTACACATCACTAAATCGTATTCAAAGCAGGATATTTCAAGCTGTTTATGGCACAAATGAAAACATACTAGTGGGTGATCTTTGCTCTAGTTTTGCTATAGTTTTAAGTTTGCAGGAAGTTAATAACAGAATACCAAAGATACGTATTAAGTAATAACTGTTTAAGAATATCACTTGTGCAAAAAAGAAAAAGATGATTTTTACTGTTTCTTTTAATATGTTGTAAGCGGTTTTGATGTTTCTGCAGGTGTGTGCTCCTACAGGAGCTGGCAAAACTAATATAGCTATGATTTCAATCCTACACGAGGTGAATAGTCACTTACTTCCAATGTACTTGTGCTGACAGTTTTAAATTCTGTATGATTCATTCACATTGCCTAAAATCAATGCTTTAAGTTGATGTTTTCTTCTGATCATTATCTTAATGGGAGTGCAATATAATGGATTGCCAAACTTTTGACACATTATCCATGTTGCAAAAAGTGCACCTTTGTTGATTGGAAAAAAAAAATGCCACATATTTCAGAACAGCTTTGTGATGTGCATTTTTTCTTGCGTTCTTGCACCATCCTCAACCTTGTTTCAATAGTCAACTCATTATCAACTCCAATTCCTTGCCAATCTGTTGCAATTCATGGTATAGACCAAACTAATCATCCTCACGACTAATTTCCTTATATTTGGTATGAGTGACTACTTATGTGTCACAATCTTTCTGATGAATGAGAAATGATGAGAAAGGCTGGTTCTTCCATCTCTTTATTGATTAATGTTAAGTTTTCAATTGCAGTATACTCAATTTTGTATTTCTGTGTAACTTGGAATGATTTTGGATTTGAGGACTGATTTGTTGGGCTAGAAGTGTAGATCACTGGATCAATGAAGTTATCAAGAAATTCGCTTGACTGTTAGCAAGGCTCTGAATCCAATGAAAAACTTGTGGACTCTAGGCACTACGTTTTCCTTATAATTTATAAATTTATGGAATTATGTATGTCCAATAACTGGTTTTTAAAACAAAAGTATATGATGAAAGCCCACAACTAGTAATTCTATTGAAAAGTATGAAGCTCTAGCTGCAACTACACTGAAAACCTGGCAAGCTTGGATAATACTTATAAACTAATAAACTTCTGGCCAAATGTTGAATGAAAAACAACAAAAATATAAGTAGTTTCTTCATTTGCATCTTCTAGGGACAGGAGGGCTTTTATGGACCCCTTGTCCAATTAATCTAATTCGTTTTTTTAGTGGGTGTTTCTTTTGGATCTTTGAAAGGATTGGAAAGATCTTTTCCCTCCCTCTCTCTTCTCATTTGTAATCCTCCTCTTTGCAATTAAAAATTGCCTTGAAACTTCTACTTCCTCTGTTTAAAAATGTAAGACATTTTTTGAGGGGTTTGATATTAAAAAATGTAAGGTATTTTTAGTATTTTAAGGTGTAATCAGTGCTTTTCCCCCCCAAAAGTGTCCCTATTGAATAATTACTTTATATTATTTTAGAGTGAAATACTCTATTACATAGGGGTAAATATAGAAAGATAGTGTTAGTTTGAAGATAAGTAACTACTTTATTGAGGGTGAGATTCGATTAAAAATGTCTTACATTTTTGAATGGAGGGAATATACTTTTTGTTTCAAGACTGAAAGGTCTTCTCAAATATCTTCTCAAATGACAGGATGGTCCATGACTTAAGCCTTGTCTTCCAAATGGGATATATATATATATATATATATAAATATGACTGCGTTATTAATTATTATTGTATTGATGATAGGAGGATTTTCTATCCTCCAATTATGTATTTTCTTTTTATATTCAGATTGGGCAGCACTTCAGGGATGGTTACTTGCACAAAGGCGAATTTAAGATTGTTTATGTTGCCCCAATGAAGGTATTTGGAAGCTTTTCTTCTTCATTCGATGTTTCTATTGAGTTTTCTTTTTGCTCTCTAAACCTTTTGTCGTTTACTACTAATAGTCATTTATAGGCTTTGGCTGCAGAAGTGACAACAACATTCAGCAAACGATTAGCTCCTTTGAATATGACCGTCAGAGAGCTTACTGGGGATATGCAACTATCTAAAAGTGAACTTGAAGAAACTCAGGTTTCTTGTTATCAAAATTGTAGGTTTAGGTTTTCTCTATGCAGGCATGGGAACTTAGCATCTTCTTTTTCCCTCATTTGAATCAGATGATAGTGACAACACCAGAGAAATGGGATGTTATTACTCGCAAGAGCAGTGATATGTCGCTCTCAATGCTTGTGAAGCTTTTAATAATTGATGAAGTGCATTTACTTAATGATGATAGAGGTCCTGTAATAGAGGCTCTAGTTGCTAGGACTTTACGACAGGTAAAACCTCTGTGACTGATAATTTATTTATTTTTTGAATTAGTTTCAGTTACAAGTAAGAAGGAGTGCATCATATTTCAATGTAATATTAGAAGGTTTAGTTGTTGATAGAGCACAATGAAGTTGTGCAATTCATGTAGCCAATCTTGCCTAGTAGGAGCCAGTAAGGCTTGTCGTCGTTGTCATCGTCATTATCTTATATGTTGGAATAGGATGACTTTGGCCCAAGGGGACGGAGCCTAAAGGAATTTGGGTTTCAAGTGTATTAGTCTGCCATCTAATTGATTGTACAGCCTTTATTATTATATCTTATCATTCATTTGATAGGATTCTGATAGATTTTCTAAATATATTTTTAGTCTGGTTCTAGGGATTGACCGAGATTTGTTGTGGTTAAACCTAGATAAATAGCCTTGATTGTGAATGGAATAATTAACTCTTGCCCAATTTCTACATTATAAAAAATATTATTCAAGAAAATAAAAATGAATACCAAAAGAAGTATTAAAAGTGTCCTTAATGAAGAAACACAGAAAAGACATGGTTCTCAATACATTAAATACGCTTCAATCCCATTACTTGGTGATAGGACTATGCTTACTCACAGTATTTACTTGCTCCTCATGATAATGGGCCTTGGATTGACCTGTCGTTCCCCCCTTTTTTCTCTGCTTCTTCTTTCAAAAAACCAGGTTGAATCAACTCAGACAATGATACGCATTGTGGGTCTTTCTGCAACTCTTCCTAATTACCTAGAGGTGTTTGATCCCAGTAATATATACTTATGTTTATTACCTCTATTTATACATGCTGAATGCTGAAGTGTCTATAAGCTATGACTGTTATCACCAGGTTGCACAATTTTTGAGAGTGAATCCCGAAACAGGACTTTTTTTCTTTGACTCTAGCTACCGCCCAGTTCCCCTTGCTCAACAATATATTGGAATTAGTGAGCAAAACTTTGCAGCACGTATTGAACTGTTGAATGAGATATGCTACAAGAAGGTCTCTTTCCTCCTCACTTCAGCTCTAAACATATTACATCTTGCTATGATGATTAATTTGCTTTGTTTGGTGCTATTGTTTGAGCCAGGTTGTTGATTCTATTAGGCAAGGTCATCAGGCAATGGTATTTGTCCATTCACGGAAAGACACTGCAAAAACGGCTGAGAAACTGGTTTGTAAATTCAGACGTTTTATATAGTTCTGGTTTATGAATTAGGATGTTCTGTATAGTCCGCTACCTGCTGTAGTTCTTTTGCCTGTATGTTGGGGAACTTTAAACTCTTTAATCTTTTTGTTGACTTGTTATTGAAGGGGAAATTTCTGTCATGCCCCCCCTGTATGTGTACATGGGGGATCAAGATTTGATCAGTTCCTTTGTTCTCTGATTCTCTGTGCAGCTTTGTTCTTTATTTTTTACTGCAAAGGGGTAAAGTGACTAGCATTTTTTTTTTGTTGGACGAAAGCTGTTCCTTCAGTGTGAACATTTATTCTTGAATGAGCATGCATACTTTTGCACCGCTTAATGTTTAATTTAGCATATTTCTGTACACGCTAGCCCTTTTGAGGGCATTTCCAAGTAATGAATGTTTGTTTCTTAACTGTATTTGTAATTTGAATATTTGAATATGCATGTATGCTTTGTAGCTTTGCTAGTTACCTTCAGAAGCTCTTTATCTGTATATGGCAATTCCTAATAGAAGTAGTAGTCTGTTCCATGTTTACGTACCATCATTTATCTGCGTGTTCAATAGGTTGAGCTTGCACGTAAGAATGATGACCTGGAGCTCTTTAGGAATAATGAACACCCGCAATATTCCTTTATTAAGGTAATTGAAAGATGTTCTTCATTCTTCTGGTTCTTCTTGTGTTATCTCTTCTTATATGTTGTCAATTTGATGCTTTCCAGAAAGAAGTTATTAAATCCAGAAACAAAGATCTTGTTGAACTTTTTGAATTTGGGATGGGCATTCATCATGCTGGGATGTTACGTGCAGATAGAGGGCTAACTGAGCGGCTTTTCTCTGATGGACTTCTGAAAGTAGAGCTTTTCCTTTTGTAGAATTTCTTCTTAGATTTTCAGAGTTTGCTAGCAGTTTATATACTTATGCTTTTTTTTTTTTTTGCTTTTAGGTACTTGTTTGTACAGCAACTTTGGCATGGGGTGTCAATCTACCTGCTCACACAGTTGTCATCAAGGTTTGTGCAATTTTACCTTAATCTTATGTCATAATGCACGTATGTATTTTTGCATCATATGAGGCAGATTTTGAAATTTGAAACCTTAATGCTTTCACATTATCTTGTAGCATGTTATTATTATTATTATTATAACAGGACACCCTGTACTAACAGTGCTTTATGAAGGAAAGTACAAGGGCAGAAATGCACTTTAATGTAAAAGTAAATATTTGTGATTTGTAACTACTTTTATTTAAGAAATGACTACTTTTCTTCTGGCAATGTTGCATAGGGGAAGTTGTAATTCCTTGTTTTATTTTCGTCATTGCTAGGAGAAAAGTAATCATTATTTAAACTACAGCAGTCATGAATATTTGTAACACTTAGACTTCATTGAATAAAAAACTTGCACGAGGAAAGTTGTAATTGGTTGTTTCATTCTAGTTATTGCTAGAAGACAAGTAGTTATTGTTTAAAATAAAGTAGTCAATGATATTTATTTTTTTATCTTATTTTTTTATCTTAAATTGGGGGAATTTTAGTTATTTCACAAAAAAAATCATTAATATTTGGAAGCTCCTTAGGGACTTGAGAAGAATCATGTTCCCATTGTTATTTGTATATTTCAAGGGGTTAAAGTGCATTTTTTACCTTGTACTTTCTTTCCAAGAGCATGGGGCACCTTGTAATAGTAAGTAAGGCATTTTTTCTCCTAAACCATTTTCCAGTGGGATTTTCGCTCCTCTAGAAAGAGGTCTAGGGAAAACAAATGTCTCACTTATTAGTATAGGGTACCCAGTGCTCCTTGAAAGAAAGTGCAGGGGCAAAAATGCACTTTAACCCTTATTATTTTAGTATGTAAGTTGAATATTATGTAGATAGCTAACTGGGTTTACCTTTTACTTTACAATTTTACAACAGCAACTTAGTTTTTAATATTATATCCCCATAGATTCTTGGTGGTCTTGATTTACTTTCATGTCAAAATTTGATTTGAACCGTGCCATTCTCCAGGGCACCCAATTGTATGATCCCAAAGCAGGTGGGTGGCGGGATTTGGGTATGCTTGATGTTATGCAGGTAGGACCACGAATTTCCTCATAAAGTACATGTGAAGTATGCATGCTTTTATATTGGCTTAATCAATAGTTAAAGTGCCATTTCTATCACATTTTCACTCTAGATATTTGGTCGGGCTGGGAGGCCTCAGTTTGACAAAAGTGGTGAAGGTATCATTATTACATCTCATGACAAGCTAGCATATTATCTCCGCCTACTGACAAGTCAACTTCCTATAGAAAGCCAGGTACTTTATGGATTACATTGAGGCAGCCATTCTCTTTACTGTTCTTGGACTCTAGCTTGCTGCACATTGATAATGCACATGGTGTTTTTATCCTAAAATAAAAGTTTGAAAAATGTTCTAAATCAATTGGGCACCATTTGCTTAGTGGGTTTTTATTATTTGCAGTTTGTTAGCTCCTTGAAAGATAATTTAAATGCAGAGGTGGCATTGGGTACTGTGACTAATGTTAAGGAAGCTTGTGCTTGGCTTGGCTATACATATCTTTTCATAAGGATGAGAATGAATCCTTTGGCATATGGTATTGGATGGGATGAGGTAATTAATATTGTGTCACGTGCCACGCTAATATATTCCTCTTATCTCTGACATACAATTTCTTTGTAAGGTAATTTCTTTATGTATCCCTTAGTCTTGCCTGATGTTGAAAAATGCATGGAATTTTTACCCCTTTAGTCTTACCCCTTCTGACGTTTAGTCACTTGGATTATTTTTCCTAATGGTTTATGTTTTGGAAGAAATTTTTTTTTTTGACTGACCAGATTAATACGACTGCAAAGATAACCACTAGTTAATTAGTATTTCCATATGATTATAAATTTTGGATTATCTAGAGTAGATGCTGTGTTAAAGTTAGAAATTAGATGAGTATTTTAATTTTAAGCATGAGAAGAGTTAGACGGGGAGAAGCTTTTATCAAAGATTGTGTTTTTGAGTGCGCTGAGTTATGAGAATATGGCTGTGTTAAAGTTAGAAATTAGATGAGTGTTTTAACTTGAAACATGAGAGAAGTTAGACAGGGAGAAGCTTTTATCAAAGATTGTGTTTTTGGGTGCAGTGAGTCATGAGAACATGGTTTTGCTAGATTTTCAGGGCTCTTTCGTCAGCATTTTGAGAAATCAGATGCCATTTATGCGTTCCTAAGTATCCACCCTGCCTCTTTCTACCCCTTGGACTGGGGGAACCTGCTAGTTAGAAAGAGAAAATTGATTTGGTTTTCCCTGTCTTCCACCAGTTATTCTTGAGGCAAGGAGTGTTTGATCACCCCCCCTCCTTGATTGATGGGGATCACTTTCTGTATTATTTCTGTGTTTCGTTCTCTCTTCTTATCAATAAACTCATTATCTTTCTCCCCAAACATAATACATAGTTACCATCACTCCAAACTTGTAAGTTAATAATTTGCTTCAGTGCACAGAGTTTCTATTGTTTCCTCTCACTTTTCATTTTGACCTTGTTTTACTTGGTTACGTTTATATATATATATATATATATGTTGAATAATTCTAGATATGATCTGAAATGTGCTTTTGGTTTAGGTTATGGCAGATCCTTCTTTGAGTACTAAGCAAAGATCTTTTGTAATTGAGGCTGCACGTGCACTTGATAAAGCAAAAATGATGCGGTTTGATGAGAAAAGTGGGAATTTTTACTGTACTGAGCTTGGTCGCATTGCAAGTCATTTTTACATTCAGTATTCCAGTGTTGAAACATACAATGAAATGCTGAGACGTCATATGAACGATAGTGAGGTTATTGGTTTCTACTCTGTTTCTCTTTCTTTGTTTTGTTTTGTTGTTTTTCTTTTCTTTTTGGGTTTTGGGAATTAAGTATTTTCTTTCTTGTTAAAGGTTTCTGCTCATGCTTGTTATATACTATTTGAGAAGTACCTTCTCCTGCTTACATATAGTCCACTGGTTGTACTATAAGATTGGATAAGACGTGGCAATCGATAATTAGTCATTTTCCATCTTGGTTCAGTCTTTTTTGGAAACTTCATCTCAGTCTCGATCAAAATTATTTTTCTAAATTTTTTACTATGTCCCTTCACACTTGCTTTTACCTTGTGCCACTCTAGGTGATAAACATGGTTGCACACTCTTCCGAATTTGAGAATATTGTTGTCCGAGAAGAAGAACAAAATGAGCTAGAGATGTTAGCACGAACATCATGCCCATTAGACATTAAGGGTGGTCCATCCAATAAACATGGAAAGATTTCTATTCTGATTCAGGTTTTTGATCACAACTGGTTCTGTTTTCTTGTTTTTGTACCAAAACATGTGTAAATAATGGTGGTTGTGGTTTGCAGTTATACATATCTCGAGGCTCTATAGATGCTTTTTCATTGGTATCTGATGCTGCATATATAAGTGCTAGTTTGGCTCGTATAATGAGGGCTTTGTTTGAGATTTGTTTGCGGAGAGGATGGTGTGAGATGACCTTTTTTATGTTGGAATATTGCAAAGCTGTGGATCGTCAAATTTGGCCGCATCAACATCCCCTTAGGCAATTTGACAGGGACCTCTCTGCAGAAGTCTGTCCTGATTATTCTATTCCTCTTAACTTCTGAAGCTATGTTTCATTCTAGTGTGTGATAATCTCTCTTGGGTGGTCTAGATATTGCGAAAGCTTGAAGAACGTGGGGCTGACTTGGATCGCCTTTATGAGATGGAAGAAAAAGAAATTGGGGCATTAATTCGATATGCGCCTGGAGGAAGGGTATGTACCTTTAGGATAGCATTCAATGATTCCTTTGGAGTTGAACATAGATGTTAAAAAATAGTTAACTTTTTTCTCTCTCTTTATTTTATTAGTTGATCAAGCAATACCTTGGATATTTTCCATCGATCCAGTTATCAGCAACTGTGAGTCCTATAACCAGGACTGTCTTGAAGGTAATACCATGGTAAACGTTTCTTTTCTGAATACTCAAGATTGCAGTTCCTTTTACAGCCAAATATCTTCTTTTGAATCCAATTTCGGAGGTAAATTGTTGTTTACAGATTGATTTGGTCATAACTCCTGATTTTATTTGGAAAGATCGTTTTCATGGCGCTGCTGAACGATGGTGGATTCTTGTAGAGGTGATGCCTTGAGAATATTTCCGATTAGATTTTCTTGGGATCATCAGTCATGTTAATCAATTCCTGAATTATTGTGAAAACCTGTCCAGTTATGATGCATGGTTAATTATGATCATTCAGCAAATTATTATGGGTATAGAATCTAAGGCTGGAGTTGTTTGTCCTACTCAAAGCAATGAACATAGGATAGGGGCATCAATATTGAGAAATCAAAGGAAACATTAATAATCAGTTGACCAAATTTTTTTGGATTATATAATTATGAAATTAATAGATCATTATAAATTAAATCTGGTTTGGATATTATATTTATTGTGAATCCAATTTAAAACAATGCTGGACTATTTTTTCACATTGGCTATGCTCTTTGCTCAGAACTCCCCCTTTGTAGCCCCACCTTCCACAGTCCCTTGTGCTGCAGTTGGGATTCAGTATGATATGAATTGAGGCAGTCAATTTTTTTATCATACTTCAGAAGAACAGGATCGGATATAAGACACCATCCATGACATTCTTTGATTACACCAACAAAAAAAAAGGGGGGGGATGCATAGATGTGAAAATAAGTCAATGATTAAATGATAGCCCTTCAATTGTTTGTACAAGAATAATAAAACATTAAAGGAAGATCAAGGATACATGAATACTTAATCTATCAAAAACTTTTTGAGGTGTTCCTACAACGGATTTGTCTTTTGAGGATGCCCTTTTTCTATTATTTCTTAGGCTGTGCTTGGGTGAATTCTTTTCCCCCCAACTGGGAATCACTTGAAGTCTTAATGCTTTGCTCAAATTTTCCAATAATAATTCTGCAGTGCTAGGTGTATGCTAGATGAGCAAATAACCAATAATTTCATTTCCATTTGTAAAATACAGATACAGATAAACTGAGAAAAAGCAAATAAAAATTAGTTCCAAGTCTTAATTTGCAAGGACTCCATCCAAATTATGATTGATTTATTGTGATCTTCTTGTATGTATGTGCCATATTTTTAATAGAAACGCTTAATTGGTCGGATATCTTGATGTGCTGAGAGTTCTTTAGTCTTGAAGTGTGCATAAGTCTTGGCCATGTGCCACTAGTATTCACTTTTATCCAGCCTGCAACCTTAAAGATTTACAATTTCCATGGGCAAATGGCAAGTGCATATTGGATGTCACGATTTGTTGTACTTTGCTGTTAATGTCACTTATCATGGGTCCACCTTTCCCTTGAAACATCTGTTCATGTCATTAAATATTTCACTTATTGATAATCTGGTACTCTAACACTAACTTGGGTGCATGCTCAACTATTTCAAGCAGGACTCTGAGAATGATCACATCTACCACTCAGAACTCTTCACAATGACAAAGAGGATGGCTAGGGGAGAACCACATAAGCTTTCCTTCACTGTGCCAATATTTGAACCACATCCACCACAATACTACATTCATGCCATTTCTGATTCTTGGTTGGGTGCAGAGGCATTCTACACTGTATCTTTTCATAATCTAACACTACCTGAGGTAGCTTATGTTTATTTATCTCGTCTCTAGCTCAATTTTATGACAATTGGCTTCTCGTAGAACATTTATCTGACAAATTACAACGGAACTGTGCTGTCTTCAGGCTCGTACTGCTCATACAGAACTCCTTGATTTAAAACCTCTCCCAGTGACTTCTCTTCAAAACAGTGCTTATGAGGCTTTATATAAATTTTCACATTTTAATCCTATACAAACACAGGTTTGGTTAAATTGCTTTACTACAAGGTTTATTAGGTTACGCATCATGAATTCTAGATATATTAACACTTGAAGGCTGTCTTTTTATGGCTTACTGGACTAGGCAGACATTTCATGCGTTGTATCACACGGACAATAATGTTCTCTTAGGAGCTCCGACTGGAAGTGGAAAAACTATATCTGCAGAGCTTGCTATGCTGCGTTGTTCAATACTCAGCCTGATATGAAGGTTTGCACTTAAATTTGTTATATCATATTGAGAGCATATAGTCATGGTACTGAATTTGCAGAAAAATTATTAAACAATATATATTGATGTTTTCTTTGAAAGAACATACTGGTTGAACTTTGGAGGAGTGACAAGCATTTAAATATCTTGATATAACCTTGTGAACAGAGAAAGTATGTAGTTCATTATTTTTATACATGCAAGGAAAAGAACACCTTCTAATGCAAGAAGAATAAAAAAAAGTCCTCCATTTTTTTTTGTCTACTATCATCTTAGCAATGATCAGCTGCATCTGCTTTATGCCTGTAACTACTGATATCCTCCAGTGTAGTAGGCATTATCACCTTTTTCAAGTCTTTGATTACTTACTTATAAGCAAATCAAAATGTAGGACCTTTTTTTTCTTGGCGCCCTATGCTCTGTTGATTGCTGATGATACATTTTTCAAACCTTTAGTGTTTGTTTCTTGGGTGGTGAAACATTTTGTTTGCATTGTGTTTAATTTTATTGTGATGCATTACTGCTGAGGAAAATAACATTCTGGGAGGCTGCCACTTTCCACATAATCTCATGAAGTTTGAGCTCACCGCTGTCAAAAAATGCAGGTTATTTATATAGCACCTTTGAAGGCTATTGTTAGGGAAAGAATAAATGATTGGCAAAAACGTCTTGTATCTCAGCTAGGGAAAAAGATGGTATTAATCTGTTTTGACTGATTTTCAAACAATGATATACATAAACATATGGTTTTGATAATAATGTGTTATGGGTCTATCAGGTTGAAATGACTGGAGACTATACACCAGATTTGATGGCCCTTTTGTCAGCAAATATTATAATATCTACTCCTGAAAAGTGGGATGGTATTAGCCGTAATTGGCATAGTCGAAGCTATGTCACAAAGGTTCGTTCTTATACATGTCTTGAGCAGCTGAGTTGGTCTGAATAAAGTATTACATTACATACTAAATAATTAATTATATTTTCAATGCTATCCATTTTACATTTGCATTTTCCTGGCACTGATCAATAGGTTGGACTTATGATATTGGATGAAATTCACTTATTGGGAGCTGATCGGGGGCCTATCCTTGAGGTATATGTTTGTGAACTGGTGACATATTAATTTATTATCCCTCTAATCTCCGTTACTTTTCTTTTTTTAAACTTCTTAGTAAAAAAAAACATGCTTTAATTTTACTAAACACCATTCAAGTTAAGTTATTAGGTAAATGCCAATGAATAGTTCTATCACAATCCTTAACAATTCCTTTAACACATAAACCTTCTGGGCTTTAAGTAAGGAATAAGCACAAACCATTCCTTGTTCTGAAACTTAATCACTTATCATAATTTTGCATTAACCCATTGGTTTAACAAATTCAATTGTGTATTTTAGTTTTCTTGGCTTGTTTTGTAGATTCATCCTCGTTGTTCAACTGAGGACTTTTCTGTTTGTAGGTTATTGTTTCTCGGATGAGATACATATCATCTCAAACAGAGCGTGCTGTACGGTTTATAGGTCTTTCTACCGCTCTAGCTAATGCTGGGTATGTTTCCTCTGAATACACTTCATGAGAGAATCCCTCTTCTTATTCACTTGCCCATTTCCTGAGTCCTAAACTTTATATATGTCCATGCATGTATAGATTGATTGTATTGTTTGGTGAACAAAAGTCTGTTGTACTTTATTTGTTATATTTTGATGGATTGATGTTGGCAATGCAAACTTTCTATGGTACTTCTGTGTATTTGGGGGGATTAATTTTGATCTTCTGTATGAATGGATCCTCACCCTAAGAAAGTATCTGTTGGGAAATTTTTGGATAAACTAATAATTTGACTTTTTTCCCTTTTTGGTAACACAGTGATTTGGCTGATTGGTTGGGGGTTGAGGATATTGGACTTTTCAATTTCAAGCCAAGTGTTAGGCCTGTACCTCTGGAAGTTCATATTCAGGTAAGTCATCCCAGTGCTCCCTAGCTTATGGCTTTGCATGCCCATTTTATGGAATATTGCTTGCAGTTGTGTTGGTCAAATGAAACAGTGAAGAAGGGATTAATGAAAGTGAGGGGTGTACTCGGACTTATGTTGTGTCCAAATATGAAATACCTATAAATCTTCGTCCATCTGTTTCAAACCTGTCCGTCTCTTTCTCCTACCTTAAGAGTGCTGTCAGAATCCTTCATTTCTTCTACTTTACAGAACCAGAGCACCTTGTGAATTTAAAAATTTGAAATAATGAATTGAATCAATGCAATACAATGCAACAAAAAAGAAACTGCAACTTGAGAAAGAGAATGTAATTTTTTTTCTTTACTATAGGAAGCTGTAGCATATACTTAATGAAATTTGAAATTGGCTGTAACAAATTTTATTCCCAGCCCATCAAGGTTATTAGATCATGGCTATGCTATAAATTCATGTTTGAGGCACCAAGCCTTTCTCACTTACCTAAGATAATAGGATTTATGAAGTTCAAATAAGATCTTAAAAACAGAACAATAATCCTAACTACTAGCAACAGAAACATGCGATAATAAAAAAGAGATAAGATATTTGAGTGAGATTTTTTGGTTAAGTCATAAGGTGTGATATCCAACAAACTTTAATTTTTCTTGTGATTGTGTTTGATTAACTCTTGTATAGATACAACAACAACAAGTCTTATCTTACTAGGTGGGGTCAGCTATATGGCTTGTGCGATGCCATTGTGCTCTATCATTTATTAAGTTTTTAGAAGTATTGTTAACTAAGAGGTCTCAATCAATAACTTTTAAAAGTGTTCTCTTTGGCCTTCCTCTATCCCTCTTGATAGGGCTTAAAGTTATATGTTCTAATCTCCTCACGTGTCTCCCGTGATCTTCTTTGTACATGTGCAAATCATTTCAAACGATTTTCTACTAATTTTCCTTCAATAGGTGCAACGCCTACTTTTTTCGATATCCGCTGATTTCGGATTTTATCTTTACGTGTGTGTTCACACTTCATTTCAATGTTCTCATCGTTGCTACTCTAACTTTATGTTCTTGTATTAGAGCCCAACATTCACTACCATATAATATTGCTGGTCTTATAAGAGTTCAATAAAACTTTTCTTTAAGTTTATTAGAAATCTTACGATCGCAAATAACCCCTTTAGCCTTTCTCTAATTTAACCACCTAGCTTATATCTTATGTGCAATATCTCTATCAATTTTCCCATTATGTTGAATAATAGCTCTCAAATATCTAAATTTTTTCACTTAAGGTATAATTTGATCGCTTATTTTCACTTTCAAATTACTACTCATTGATCTTTTTTCAAAATTACAATGTAAGTACTCCATTTTGCTCCTACTCAGATGGAAACCTTTTGAATCCAATGTCTTTCTCTATAACTCAAGTTTACAGTTAATATCTTCTTTTGTCAACACAATAAGAACTATATTATTCACGAAAAGCATGTATTTGGGGATTTCCTCTTGAATATGCTCAATCAAAACATTTAGGACTAAGTGAAATAAATGAAGACTTAAATATGATCCTTGATTCAGTCCAATCCTCATAGGAAAGTTTTTTGTTTCACTGTCAGACGTTCTTATACTAGTTGCCGCCTCAAACATATCTTGTATAACTCGAATATAGGCAACCCAAACACCCTTTTTTTCTAATGCTTTCTAAAGTATTTCTCTTTGTACATGATCATAGGTTTTTTCAAATTAATGAAAATCATATGTAAATCTTTACCTTTGCATTGATACTTTTCCATTAATCTCCTTAGTAGATAAATTGGTTCTGTAGTCGCTTTACCTAGCATGAAGCCAAATTGATTTTTAGAGATAACAGTTTCCAATTGCAACTTATGCTCAATTACTCTTTTTCACAATTTCATTGTATGATCATAAGTTTAATTTTTCTATAATTAGTGCAATTCTTAATATTCTTTTTATTTTTGTACTTAGGAACTAAGGTGTTTTTTTTCAATCGTCAAGCATTTTTTTGAATTGTAATGTCACATTAAATAACTTAGTTAACCATCATATCCCTTCTTCATCTAAACATTTCTACATTTCCCTAGGGATACAATCAAGTCCATTAGCTCTATCATTTGCCATTTTCTTTAAAGCTTCCTTTACCTCACAATCGCATATCCTTAGATAGAATGATAAATTTTGTCCTCCTTTAGAAGTTACTAAATCCTCCAAGTTATTAGATGAACCCCCTCCATCATTGAAAAATTTAGAAAAGTAAGTCTCCTATCTACCTTCAATATCACCATTTGTGAACAAAACATTTTCCCATTCATCCTTTACACTCCCTGTGATCCCATTTATAAGGCACGTTTTAAAAAGTCTATTTGGTTTCATTTATAAGTCACGACATGGTTTTTTAGGTAATATTTGAAAGGTATTTTTAAAATTACCCTTTATGAGAGAGAAAAAGTAACATAACATCACTATTTAGATTTGTTATATTGGGGCATACTTGGAATTTTACGCACTTTTATTCCTTTTACTTTTTTCGTATTGATATTTGTGAGGTTGGTAAAATTGACTTATAAAGAGGACTGGAGGAATACATTTTACTTGTTTCAAATCTCTTGGCAATTTCATAAATTTTTCATTCTCCATTCTTTGTTCCAAGACTATAAACTCTTCAAATGTTTTAGAACGAGTTTCACTTACCACCTTCTTAGTTTCTCTTTTAGCCATACGATACCATTCCTAATTTTTATTATTATTGCACGGATAAATGGCTTTAAAACATTCCTTCTTATGTGACTTTTTCCTATACACAATTATTCCACCACCAAAATTCCTTTTCTCTCGGATCAAAACCTTTTGATTCACCCAAAATTTCTTTTGCAACCTTCCTTATCTTTCTAACCATATCTTCCCATAAGATGCTAGTGCTTCCCTGGGACTCCCAAATTCTTTCAGTCAAAAGATTTCGCTTGAAAATTTCTCACCTCTCACCTTTTAATTGCCACCACCAAATCTTTAGAGTTAGCACTTGTTGACAGTTTTGGTTTTTACTCATAATACGCACATTAAGAACAAGGGTCCTGTGTTGTGTCGTTACAGCGTCCCCCAGGAATCACCTTACAATTTTTACAAAGTTTTCTATTCGTGTTCCTTATCAAAGAGAAATCAATCAATGACCTTGAGGCTCTACTTTTAAAGTAATGAGATGTTTATCCCTCTTCTTGAAAAAAATATTGGCAATCTTAAAATCATACGCCAAAAAAAAATCAAGAATAGATTGTCCTTTATTGTTTAGCTCCCTAAAGCCAAAACTACCGTACACTCTCATATAATGACATGTCTCTTTCTTGACATGATTGTTAAAGTCTAATCTAATAAAGATCTTTTCATTTTATGGTATGTGTTAAATCAACCCCTCCAAGTCTTCCAAAATAATTCCTTAAGACTAACTTCTACTTTGACTTGAGTTACATAAGCACTAATAATATTGACAATCTCTCATCCAACAATCATTTTTAAGGGAATAATTCTATCTCTAATTCTATTAACTTCTACCATATTCTTCTTTCACTCCTTATCAACAATACTCACCTCGTTGTGTGTGCTTACTTTCCCAGTATACCAAAGTTTGAAACCTTGAATATTCTTAGCTTATTCACCGGGCCATTTAGTTTCCCGCAAGCATAAGATGTTAATTTTTCTGTTAATCATAACTCTTACCACCTTTACAGATTTACAATTCAAGTCCCCATATTCCAAGTGCCAAAGCTGATCTTGCTCACATGGACTAACTTCTTTAGCCGCACTTGTCTAGAATAACACGGTAGCCCTTGCTCATTTAACACTAGATCTGGGCACCAATGTAGCAGCTCTAACTCACTTGTCATTGCACTCGAGCATGTAGCGCGTTATTTACAGGCAACGACCTAGCATTAGCATTAAAATGTCTATTGTTCATATCCATGTGAGATTCAACAAAGTTCTACGCTGATTATTGAGGGCTTAACACAACTCTCCTCTTTTACCTGCGCTTGAGACTAGATATATAACATAGGCAGATTTTGTTATTGAATCTCTTGTATGGATGGTTCAGTGAAATTTAATTATAAGTTGTTCATGGTTGTTTGTTATCAGAAGTGGAAGAGAATGTTGCCCATAAGTATTACTTGTTCTTCATGTCGCAGGGATACCCTGGGAAGTATTACTGCCCAAGAATGAACAGTATGAACAAACCAGCTTATGCTGCAATATGCACCCATTCACCAGCAAAGCCAGTTCTCATATTTGTCTCATCACGACGACAGACAAGACTTACTGCATTGGACTTAATTCAGGTGAAACTTTAATCTCATGTTGGGAGCAGTAAACATTTGAACTTCTATTTATTTTTCTTCTCTGTGAGTGTAGTTTGCTGCTTCAGATGAACTTCCAAGACAGTTCCTCAATATGCCAGAAGAAGCACTACAAATGGTTCTATCTCAAGTTACTGATCAGAACCTGAGGCATACTTTACAATTTGGCATTGGTTTACATCACGCAGGTCTGAATGACAAAGACAGATCACTGATTGAGGAGCTATTTGCAAACAACAAGATTCAGGCAAACATTTGTGACTTAAAAATTGGCACTGTCAAAACCATGTTCTGGCTCTCACTTGACTTATTAGGTATTTTATGATGTCAATGTAGGTATTGGTTTGTACAAGCACCTTGGCTTGGGGTGTGAATCTTCCAGCTCATCTAGTGATTATCAAGGTGATTCTAGCACTTTCTTTCCCTTTTTCATTTTTTTTTTTTTTTGGGGTGGGGGGAAGAATAGTATCTGAAAGAGGTGAACTTGTAGTGATTTCTTTATCCATATCTAGTAATGTCTTTATCCATATGGCCCAGTTGATATTGTTTATTTTTTAGTCCTGGTCATGTTTGCTTTTATTTTACTGGATCAGTAACAACTTCAATTGTTCAAACTGCTGCACATATCTGCGAAACAATGTTTGAAACCAATATAATTTTTATGGAAGGGTAATTGACTAGTCACTTTTATTCCCTTCATTCACATAAACTGGTGTTTTCAGTGCATTGCTAAGAACTTGCTGATATTATTAGTTTTTGAATGTCTTGAAATGTTTCTATCATAGAATCTATGTCTATCCAAAAGTCTAAACTGTGTGAAGTAGAGGCCTATTATAACATGTGCCAAAATTTAATTCGTTTCACTAGAGGCTGGGGCTGGCAAGGATACAACTCTAGATCTCTGTCATAAGAGATCCACCACCATGTTAGAACCATTTTGTTAGCAACCAGTGAAGTCTCAGCCAAAACTCAACAATAAAAATTGAAATCAAACCAATTGGGAAACCTGAGGTTTTACTGTCTCACAAATTAAACCAGCTGCGGAACTTGAGTTTTTACTATTCCTCTGAACACATTATTACACTATTTCAGCTTACGGCTGATTCCCTTCAAAATCCAACACCCTAGTACACCCAAAATGCAGATACACGGCAACTAACGCAAAATGATGCAAAGGGTATTGATGCATCTCTGCTACAAAGTCCTGAGCAGTACATAAATTACAAAGGACACTGCTAGAACTGAAGACATGGGCCATGGTTTCAAAACAATAGCAAATAAGATAAGCATAACGCTTAAATACATACTGCACAAGCAAATAATCGATTTGCCAACTTTCAAAAGGTTGGTTCTCTCTGCCAAAAACTTGACCCAAAGTGCCCCGCTTCTCTTCAGTTTTCCTCTTATATATACCCTATCAACAACTCCTAACTGCTCCCTCTTAACTTTTCATCACGACTACCTTGTGTGCTCCTCCACTTTTCTGTCTTAATTGATTCTTTTCTTCTGGACCAGTAGTCCCATTTTCTGCCTTTTTTCCACTCATCTATGTTTTCTTCTATGTGTTTTGATTGTTGCAGTGGTTTAGGTCCCATCGCATTTCAAGTTACAATTTTAGGCTTTTATCAGACTTGTGAATGCAAAGACGTCTATTTATGACCTATAGATGAACTAGTACTTTGTATTGCTAATCATTTGTATTGCTAACCCTCAAATTGTCATGTGTAGCTTGTAACTTCCAGAATACTAAGGACTGAGGTTTACATGATTACTTCAACTGTCAGGATAGGTGAATTTTGATTGATCAGTTTAGAATTGATCTTAGGCTCATGTTAGAAGAGTTATGTCTGGCTTAATCTGGTCTGTGCCAGTTGTTAGGAGGATCCTTGGGAGATGGCACAATGGTCTGCTGAATCTAATGGCTTCTAATTTATTGATATATTGAGGTTGCTATGAATTGGGGTATTCACATACAAGGCTGAACTTGTGAAAAAAATATTTGTATTATTTCTTGGATTCTTGCTGGTCACTTTTTCTCTAGTCTTAGTCATGATTATGTATTGGCTTTTCTTGACCCATGTACACCTTTACTGTTTCTTTGTTGTACGTGTACCCTTTGTAACAATAAAAATTAATTTATTTGTATGTTACTCTGGCATATGATATGTGTAGTGTCAGACTTTGTATTATTGTCTCTCTGAATTTATTACACCTTTTCAAAATACTTCGTTTCTTTTGCAGGGGACAGAATATTATGATGGGAAGACAAAGAGGTATGTTGATTTTCCTATAACTGATATATTGCAAATGATGGGTCGTGCTGGACGTCCTCAATTTGATCAGCATGGGAAAGCAGTCATTCTTGTTCATGAACCCAAGAAGAGTTTCTATAAAAAGGTCAAATTTGATATTGATAATTATAATTGTCCATACCTGAATCGTCTGGGGACTAGAATAATTTTGTGTATTTTTGCAGTTCTTGTATGAGCCTTTTCCTGTTGAGAGCAGTCTGAGGGAGCAGTTGCATGATCACATTAACGCAGAAATTGTTTCTCAAACAATCTGCCACAAACAAGATGCAGTGCATTATCTTACATGGACTTACTTATTCCGTAGGCTTGTAAGTTTGGGAACTTTACTATAATTAGATGATACAGAAAAGTGGTTAGGGGTGAAAGGTCATATGCTTGTCAAGTCAAATTTAAACTTAAGCATTTCATTTATGATTTCCATATCAGAATGCTATTAATTTTTTGGGTGAAACCCCTCCCTCATATTTAGTTGAAGATACGTTCTATGCTTATTCTTGTCATCTTCTTGCCACCTTATAACACGCCTAACATGGAATGCACGAGTTATCTATTTTCATTTTCTTATGCAAACAGTCGTATATGAGCAATGTAACTAGTAATCTAGTTCTGTTTCAAAGCAACTGTTTACAGAAAATTTATAGTATTTTTTAATTGCTTCTGAGAATATCTTAGCTTGTGCCAATCATTTCCTTGTATCATCATATCTTATGTTGAACAGAAGTTGATCATAGATTCAGCCATTGTAGTAAATCGGTTCTGCAAACATGCTTAATAGATTTTTTATTAGGTGGTCAATCCTGCCTACTATGGATTGGAGAACGCAGAACCTGAAACTGTGAGTTCATATTTGTCTAGGTAATGCCATAAACTCTGGATCGTACTGAACCTTGTTAGAGATATTGTCTGTATCAGTCATTCTCTTTTGGCAGCCTAGTGCAGAACACATTTGAGGATCTGGAAGATAGTGGATGCATCAAAATGAATGAAGATGAGGTGGAGCCAATGATGCTTGGTTCGATAGCATCTCAGTATTATCTCAGCTACATGACAGTATCTATGTTTGGGTCAAACATTGGTCCTAATACATCACTTGAAGTAAGTTTTCTTTTTTCCTAAAATTTCCCCCTTCTCTTGTCTTTTTGGTGTCTTTCTAATTCAAAAAATGCTTCTTCGTTGTTAAGTGAAATTGCCGTGTAAGATATTTTACCTAAAAAATAGAATAACAGTAAAAGATCTTTGCTGTAGGTGTTTTTGCATATTTTATCTGCTGCCTCCGAATTTGATGAACTCCCTGTGCGCCATAATGAGGTATTGTTTTTTTCTAAATTGGCTCTTAATAAGACCTTATTTAATGTCTGTTGGGGATGCAATACATTTTGGACATGCATTAAAAGATGAATCATTAATGTATTAAAACGCCATCTAAACTTGTGGGCTATTCCCCTTTCTCATAGTTTGATCAACAAGCCTTATCCTACTAGGTGGGGTTGGCTATATGAATTGTACAATACTATTGTGCTCTATCATTTATCAAGCTTTTAAAAATATTGTTAATTAAAAGGCTTCAATCAACAACTTTTAAAAGTGTTTTCTTTAGCCTTCTTCTACCCCTCTTGACTGGACTTAAAGTTATTTGTTCTACTTTTCCTCAATCATTCTCATAGTTTGATCATTGTTACATTTACCTTTTACATTTAGTTGATAAAGCTCTTAGAATCATATTCATTCATGAAAGTTGACTATACTGCATCATCCTTATGCCATAGGAAAAATACAACGAAGCATTATCTGAGAAGGTTAAATACCCAGTGGACAAAAATCGTTTAGACGATCCTCATGTCAAAGCAAATCTTTTATTTCAGGTCAGTTGTGTCTGAAGCAGGAATTCAGCATGCTACAATTCTTTTATTTTCATTGATTATTTTGTTTGCATCTCTAATTGTAAAATTTTTTTGGGTTTCAGGGTCATTTTTCGCAATTGGAGTTACCAATCAGTGACTATATTACAGACTTAAAATCAGTGTTAGATCAGAGTATACGTATAATTCAGGCCATGATTGATATATGTGCAAACAGCGGTTGGCTTTCAAGCTCAATTACCTGCATGCATCTTCTGCAAATGGTCATGCAGGTATTGTAATTTTTTTGGGGGGGATCCGCTGCGTACTTTTTTCCCCTAAACTCATCCAATAATAAATGCTGATGTGCTTTTGCTCAGCATAGACCTATTATACTGGATTATTTATTTATATCAGAATCTGACTACATGGATCATCATACTGCCCCCATAAACATGAGGTTACATGACCTGCAAAGTCATAAAAACCTAGAGGAACACTTTTTTATGAAGTTCTTAAATATTGTTATTTAGTTCCAAGTGTTTTGCTTATGTGATGAGGAAAATGCAAAGGAGTACTTGGACTCAAATGTGAAGGCAAAAGAAAACAATACCTATTGTTTTTTCTTCTATTTCTTTATGTTTGAAGGGAACAAGAATATTGTTATTCGATTGATCACGCCACTTTTTGATGATTTCCCATCGTCACTTGATAAAGCAGAGGGAACACAACATATCCAATATTCATTGCATCTCTAAATCCATTTTTTTATTAGTCTAGCTATGGATAATGCAGAATTTAACTCTTGCTCATAATGTAGTTGCCTATGGATTGGGCAAAAATAATGCTTGGATTACTACTTATGACACACACACACACACACACACACACACACACACACACACACACACACACACAGTATTCAAGGATGGTTTCTGGCCCATTAACTGTTTATCTTCCTCATCTGGAATATTCTTTGCTTTTTATTCTTTTAAATATCATGATTTCCTTTCAGGGTTTGTGGTTCGATGAGGACTCTGCCTTGTGGATGTTGCCATCCATGAACGCTGATCTGATAAGTTCACTAAGCAGAAATGGAATTTCTACTGTACAGCAACTTCTAGATATTCCTAAGGCCGCATTGCAGACTGTAACTGGAAATTTCCCGGCTTCAAAATTATATCAGGTAAAGTGCTAATAACGTTTCCTCCTTTTTCTTAATAGAAATTTTTCCTGTTTACATACTAGTTCTAAATTGTGAATATGTGCTATTGTAAATCTAGATGGCAGAGTGATGGAAAAAAGAAGGCACAATTTGTCTGTTGCATTTGGTAAAATATTAAAAAAACCACGTGAATCCTGCATGATGGAGAATTTGATCATTACATTTTTTTTTTTTTTTTGCTTGAAGAAGCAATTCGTTTGCAAAGAAAAACCTGTCAATTTGTATTTTGTACCTGGAACCACCGAGCTATTATGGGTTTCTGCGAGTTTTGTGAGTTGTCCACGTCCATGTCCAACAATTGTCACTGGCACATTAGTTACATTGTGACACTTAAAAAATTCCTGGCTAATCTAGGTTTTGACATATTTCAATGTTTGTCCAATCGATGTCCTAATTTTTTTGCCTCTTCTATTTATCAAATACTAAAATTGAAATGTATTTTCTAATGTTAAATTTAAATAATCTAATTATAGAAAACATTTTTGACTTTCTTGGATCATGTATATGGTTATTAATGCGTATATGTGGTAGTTGCCCTTATCAAAAGAACTTTTTATGGTAATTAATAAGTTTCTTTTACTGGCCAAAAGAACGTTACTCCTGCATTTTTATTACGAACCAACATTACATGATGGAAGGGAAGTGGTTGATGGGTTACGCGTTAAGTAGTAACTCCTGTCCTGCATATCAATGGTCTTTGTCAAATTAGACTTGCATTTCGCCTTTTATCTGTGCTTTCTTTTTGATGAACCCAGGATCTGCAGCACTTCCCTCGTGTCAAAATGAAAGTAAAGCTTCAGGGGAAGGACACTGACAGTGGAAGGTCCCACACTTTGAACATCAGACTGGAGAAGACGAATTCTAGACGACACTCTTCTAGAGCTTTTGTGCCTCGATTCCCTAAGGTGAAGTTCTTGCGTTGTTCTTTATTAGTAGTTTTAAACTGTAATTAATAATTCTTTTTTAATACAGATAAAAGATGAACAATGGTGGTTGGTTCTTGGTAACACCTCTACGTCTGAGCTATATGCTTTGAAAAGGGTTTCTTTTTCCGATCACCTAGTCACCTCTATGGAGTTACCGCAAACTCCAGCTGCTTTTCAGGTGAAAACGGTTTCTCCCTCCCAAATTGTGGTCCTTCGATCCCTTTCAATTTGACCTGTTTTATTTCTATTTTTAAGCAATTTCAAATTAAATTAAGATGACTTTAAGCTGATCCAACGTCATTATGACGTAGATATGATGTTTTTGTTTTAGTTCAAGAGGACTTCTTATTATGGGTGGGCTTTGCCTGGACCAATTTACGGTTTCCCATTTTTTTCAATCTCTTTTCCAAATTGAATACTGCTAATTATGTGCCAATTCTTTTTAAATTTAAGGTGAATCGCACTGTTTGTGGTTTATAAACTGCATGACTTTCCGTAAATTTTATATCAATATAATTTGTGATTACTCTTAAGAAGCAATCAATCCTGTTGATAGTTTTTCTTTTGGCAAATAGCCTGTTTATAAATTTAATTGGACTTTAATATTGTTTACTAAACTTTGGGTATCCTGATTTATTTTGATCAAGAGTATCTGTCGGTATATTTTTCTAATTTTTTTGTTTGATTTACAGGGTATGAAACTGATTTTAGTCTCAGATTGTTACGTTGGCTTTGAACAAGAACACTCGATCCAAGCACTTCTGGGTGGTCAACAAATAGAAGCAGGATTTTAAGTAATTTGACAGTCATCGGTGAATATTATAGAGTTGGCTTCCGTTATCCTCCAATCCTTCTTAGCTTCTCCACCTTTGGATTTCAATTCAAAAGGTTGAGATTTAATGTATTATTGTTATATTAAATATATTTATAATAGTCATATTAAATAAGATTATTAAATTTATTAGTTTAAATTTAGTTGTTATTTGCTCAAAAAAATTAGTTGTTATTTAATATAATAACATAATATATTGAATCTCAACCATTGAAATTGAGATCCAAGGGTGAAGAAGTTAAGATGAGGCTAGGAAGAGGGAAGCTAACTTCAATATTATGGCATGTAAGATGTTCTTTTCAGAAGGAAATTATTATATATTTTTTCGGAGGCGCAGTATCTTTTTTTTTTGTGTGACATTTTTTTTTTAGGAGGTGGAGGTTTAAGGTTTAGAGTTTATAGAACCATATCTTTAAGCTATTTCTTTTTTAAAAAAATTAATGTTTGGAGATTTCAGTATAATAAGTCAGATTGAATAGAGAAAAAGACAGAAATAGAACGAAAATTTTGTCCAAAGAACTTTAATCAGAAACTAAAACCATTCCGTTCAACGATAGGAGGGGAGGAAATGAGAGGATGATATTTATTAATTTCTTATTTATTTAAAGGAAGGAGATAGATAAAATATGAAAAAAAAATGATAGAAAAATTTCACCAAAATTTATAAATAATAATGAAATATTTTAAGTTGTTATAATTTCTCTCAAGTTTTTAAAAATGTCTTTGTCAATGCATTGTAAAGTAAAAACTTTTTTGACTGTTACAAAAAATGAAAGTCCTTGGGCCTACGCGTCTTTCTTTTCCTCTTCCCCTTCTTCCTTCTCCAGATGTTGACCTTACTCACCAAGAAATTCCTCCCATGGACTCTGCGTTCCTCTTCCCATCACTCTCCTTTGCTTATTCTTTTCCCTCTCCCTTTTCTTCTTTACTCCACCCTAATCACCATCCCCTCTCTCTCTCCCCCTTCTCCTCCATCTTCTTCTTTAAGTACACTGCACCTATTTTATCCTTGTGTGTTTCAAACAATGTGGTGGTCGAGAGGGCAAGCAAAAGCAGGGCTAGGCAACAAAGGCCCTGGTGGTTATCAAGAGCGGAGAGTGGGAGAAGGAGGACGGGAAGAGGGCGAGTGTCCTAGTGGATTGTCATGGCTGATCATCAGGTTGAGGTGTTTAGCAAGCAAGGAAATTTCCTCCAATTACGGCATATGATGGTTGCCTCACCCTTGTTTTCTTCTTTCGTGCTGGTTTGGACGGAATGGGAATGATGTTGTTACTGGAAAGCCAAGCAAAACCCGAAGGCCAGGCCTTAAATATAACACGGCATGCTTCTTGTTGAACTTGTCAAAGGGAAGATATAAAAATTTGAGCAGGGCATGATCTCTGATTGAGTTTGAGTGTTGCCATTTTCTGATTAAGACAAGAAAAAGAAGAGAATGCACGCAAATCCAAGGACTTTTATTTTCTATAAGGATAAAAGGGTATTTTTCCTTTACAATTTATTGACCAAGAAGTTTTCAGAAACTTAAAAGTAATTATAATACTTTGAAGAATATCGTTATCACTTATATATTTTGATGAAATTTTTCTCTCATTTACCTATTAAGATAGGTCTTTTTTCTCTAAAACCCTCCAATGCAGGGGAGGAAAGAAATCCCCTCCCCTCATTCTTGGTATCCCAATAAGAGGAGGAAAGCAACTCCTTTTATCAAAAGGGTTTTACTCGTCCATAGTATTATAGGGAATTGTGCTGTGAAAAATGAGACAATATATCACAAAAAAAATATTAAATAATAGAAAAGGAATGGGAAAAGGGAATCGTTAAGACTATTAAGAAGTAAAAAGTGCAATTTTACTGTAAACGTAATGAAAAATTACATGTAGATAGATAAGTTGGTTCCAGTTGACGCGGATCTTTCAGTTGTCTTACGTTCTCTTTTTCATAACCGTCCAAACTAAATTCCGAAGCAAATTCGATTCACACGATCATTCTACCACTCAATACAAATACTCAGAAAGGCGTACAAATATTCCAATGTAAAAGGCAGAAACCATATAGTCCCTGTGTAGGAATCCTCGCAACCTGAGGCTGGTGCGACTATCTGGAGATTAGATGATCGCATTTAATACGCTTGTGGTGAAAGTCTTGGCCTAGGGTGCACAATCAGAGGGGCTGCTCGTTGCAGGGTTAGCCCATAGGCTTCTTCCATATTAAGCTTCTCAGGGTGAAGCCCATCTGGCAGGTCCCAATCAAAGGCATGGACAAGTGTGGCAGTTAGTAGTTGAACCATTCGAAGCCCAAGGCTGATGCCAGCACAGATTCTACGTCCAGCACCAAACGGTATCACCTCAAAGTCATTTCCCCTAACATCCACATCAGCTTTCTCACCACCTGGCAGGAACCTTTCGGGCCTGAACTCCAATGGGTTAGACCATTCCTTGGGGTCACGACCTATGGCCCACACATTGACCAGTAAAGTGGCTCCCCTGGGGATATGATAGCCGAAGATCTCACAGCTTTTGTCCGCTATTCGTGGAAGAGAGAGAGGTGTCGATGGGTGGAGACGGAAGGTTTCCTTCACTACGGCCTGCAAGTATGGGAGGTTGGGCAAGTCTAGTTCTGTCACGAGTCGATCTCGGCCCACCACTGCATCCAATTCTTTTTGGACTTGGGCCAGAATTCTTGGATGCCGAATTAGTTCAGCTATGGCCCACTCCGTTGTACTCGATGACGTGTCAGTTCCAGCAGTAAACAGGTTCTGCGAAAATGGACCGACCTCATTCTTTCATGTTTAACTTTATTGACAGGGAAGATTGCTTTGAATTTATTTTGAAATTTAAAATATAAGTATATTAATAATTTTTAAGCATTATCAATAAAATTCACTAATTAATTGATACTCGTCCTATCTTAAATTATAAAATATTTTTAAATAAAATATTATATATTAATAAATTTTATTAAATACATTTAACAATTTAATTTTTTTAAAATATAAATATAAAGTTTTAAAAATATTTTTCATTTAATAACCTTAAATTATATTTAATTAATATTAAATAAATAAGAAGAATTTGTAACATTAAAATAAACATAATTAATAAAATTTTAATCTCTTTAAAATATTTTATATTTTAAAATAATAAATTTTTTAAAAAATATGTTATAATTTATGATGGAGAGAGTATTTATTAAGTGAACATAATTAAATCAGTAATATCAAATTCACGAAGTAAGGAAGAAGGGTAGGTACCAAGAGAAGAGCCTTAATCTCGGTATCAGTGAGCCGGGTTCCTTCGTCATCTGGAACGTCTTTGAGGGACAGCAAGGTACTTAACAAGTCCTTGTGCTTCTCGCTCTTAGAAACCTTGTGCTCTTCAATGATGCTCGTCAGAAATTCATCGAACCTCTTGTGCAGTTTCTTCATCTTAGCTTGCACTCCTTGCAGGTCAAGGAATTCCAAGGCCGGAATAAAGTCGCCGATGTTGAAAACTCCGGCCAATACCATCACTTCCACCACCATATTCTTGAACTCGTCCGCCCTGGGATCGCACCCAGCGCTGCCGTCGTTGAACACGCGCCGCCCTATCATCACTCTGCTCAATGCATTTGTCGTGCATACGTTGAGCAATTGACCCAAGTTCGCCGCGTTTGAGCCCGCGCTCGCTAGATTGCGCGTCAATCTTGCTATCTCTTCCTGCATATGGATTCAATTAGGTACTAATTATTATTATAAAAAATAATTGGAATAATCTTGCTATTAATTATTGACACAATCATACGAAGTTATTCCAAATTCCAAGTCGCAACGAAAGTACAGGACGGTGAACGGTTCAATCAAGTCCGAAAGACGCTTGTCCTTCGTGGACGGCTAGACGCCCTAGTTATCTGATACGCTGCTGGCCCTTTTTATGTTTCCTTTTTGAAAAAAAGATTCTTAAATAATTAATGCCCTCTCCACTCTACATGCATTTGAGATGTTCAGATTGATCTTTGATAAGATATAAAGCTGTAGTTTACGATTTTGTACATCATTACTGAAGGTAGGAGAAGACTGACTGACTAGATATTAGTTAACGATCGATGGACGCGCAATGAAAAACCACAAAGAACTATTTAAAAAAAATCACAAAGCAGTAAGCAAACAAAAAAAGACGCAAAATGAGATCGATCGCTACTTGTACTTATCAAACACGGAAATAGTTTACGAAAATCAATCACTCCATATGTAGAACGAAATAGATGCAGGCGTTTCGGAAAGAAAGAATGTTAATTAACCTGTCGGAGGTGTCTGAAATCATCTAAGGCTTTGCCGGAGAACAGATGAACGGAGCTAATTTTCCGGAGCATACGCCACCGTGGGCCGTAGGGAGCAAACACAAGGTCTTGATAGTTATAAGCGATGTATTTGGCTCCGGCGTTAGGAGGCCTGCTGGAGAAGTTGGCGTCATGAACCTTCAAGAATTGCGCCGCGACAGATGCTGACGCTGCCACGACGACGTCCACAAATCCTAGGCGGAGATGCATGAGAGGGCCATAGGTCCGCGCCAGGTCCGCCAACGCGTGATGCGGCACAGGACCTAGGTGAGGCAAGTTTCCGATGATCGGCCAGGGACGTGGACCTGGTGGCAGAGGATGTGAAGGGCCAGTGACAAGCTTGAAAAGCCTGTAAATCAGGATGGCCACCATTAAAGTGGCCAAGCCAAGAAGCAGATGAGACATGGTGGTGTCGCTGAGTTTCGTGACCACGCTTCTCTCTACTTCAAACCGGGAACAAGAAGAAGAAGAAGAGCACCGCAAATTAATTAATTGGAATGGAAACAAAAAAAGTGTTAACAAAGTGATGAGTCTTGAAGAGGTCCATCTCAGTGTCATATATATATAGAGATAGAGAGAGATGTTGGAGAGTAAAATGTAACCAGCGGTAACTGCATTTGTGAAGCCGGGTGTTAAACGAATATTAGTACAAATTATAATTATTTTTCTAAAAAATATTTCTTTTCCTCCAATTTCAGGGTGTCTTGTTTATGGATGATTGTCGAAATTACGTCAACTTTACCAGCAGACATTATTGGGTTATGGTCGTTTAAAGGTTACAGAACATATCTTTAGAAAGGCTATTTTAAATTAAACTCTAACAATTCATATTAAAAATAAGCACATCAACTTTATTTAAACATATTACATATGTATTTTTAAATTTAATTTTAGTTCTGTTGCCTCCAAAATAAATTAGCGTGGCTATAATAAAATTAATGTAATTTTTATGGAATGTGCCTGAAGAGACAAAATTAATGTAATTTTTTGCTTCCGTGTAAAATTGTAT